TTTTGAACATAATTGAAGGGAATGTAGATTTTTTCACTCTGTATAAGACATATTTGTACCTCTATAATTTTGCATGGAGATGTATCTAGAAAATGTAGGGTTCAGATAAATAAGTGCTTTCTGTGGATTTTTTTCTGGGGTACTTACATCATACAATTTTACTTCCATCCAGAATATCCAGAAAAATTGCATAGAAATAAAATAAACCCATATTTAAAGGAAATAGTCGGGTTAAAAAATAGAATTTAAACGAATAGATTTTAATTTGGGTGTAAAACGTATAATATAGTAGCATTAATACGGACCCACATTTTTATTTGAATTCTTTATTAAATATATTTTTATATAATTTAAAAATTAATTTTTTTGAATGTTATTCTTTTGTTTTATTTAAAATATTTATGATTGTTATTGTTTACTGTTAGTTTTATTTAAATTCATTATATTTTATATTATTTTTTTTTTACAAACTTGATAAATTTTTTTTAAATACTTTGTTCTTCTTCTAAATATAAAACACTTCAAAAAAACAATATATATAATTTTTACTAAATTTATAAATACAAAAATAATAATAATTAAATTAATAAATAAATAAAATATATAAATAACAAAATAAATAAATTAATAAATAAAAATTAAATATTTTTATATTAATATCACAATTTAAGTAAAATTCGCTTTTCTCCTTGCACAATTTCCCCTCTCGGAGCAAATCTATTACTATGAATTCTTAATTATTTTTTATGTGTCACCTTTTTTTTCTCTGGGTGCTTTTGCAGATGTTTTAGAAACTTTTGCTTGTCTAAATTGTCTCCACACCCTTCCAAAATCACTTGCAACCCTTAAGCGAGAAAAAAATCGCCTAGCAAATTACCAATACCCCTTTTAAATCAATGAAAAGTGTATTATCCTGCTTTTCCTTGAAAATAAATTGATTTTTAATTGAAATTAAATGTTTTCCCTGCCCCTGCCCATAGCCACTTGATTGGTTGATTGTCTACGAACGGGAATGAAGCCCTTTAGGCCATGTTTTTTGACACTAACCAAGGACAGACGGGGGGAAATCCTACCCTAAAATAGGATTTTATCCTACTGGTAGGATCCTACTAATATTTACTATAAACTGCTGTGCTCCTAAACTCCTTTTGCCCCTAGCTCTCTTTGTTGTTTTGTCTGTGTCTCAATGACAAGGCTTTCCATTGGATTTTTGAAGGAACAAATTGTTAATTACGTGTACTTATACCCTCACCAAAAGGAGATTGTGAAAAAAAGGATCAAAATGAGGCCCGAATAGGAACTTATATTTTATAAAATATGCAAAATATTTAATCGAAGGGATTTGAGTGGCTAAAAATCATATTTCCCAGAACTCAATAGATCTTCTAGGGTATCCATAGCTTCGACTACGTGAAAAGTAGGCCTTAATTTCTTGAAAGTTTTCTGTTTGTTTCGCCTGGAGGCGGGATCTCTTCGTCCAGGTCTACCCACAGTTTTCGGAACTCCTTCTCCTCCTCCTCCTCTAGGACTAGGACTACCCTCAGCATTAGTCTGGCCCTCTGTTGCCGTTGTTGTCTTTAAGGATTTCTGGCATTTAATTAGGCGGCAATCAAGTTGACATTTTAAACAATTTAAACAAGCAAACACGCTCTGTCGCTGTACTTTGACTACTTTAGCGCATATTAAAACGCTTTATGGCCAACGGCCAATTGACATTGTCGGGGGATAATGGGAAATTTGGGCTCTCCGGAAAATCGATAAATGAGACCTCCTTTGCCTGCTGCTGCCCCAAATCCTGGCTGCTATTAATTATGTCTTTTGCCGTTTTGTCGCATTGACGTAGGCGAAGCAATTAAGTTGCTGCTGGTTTGAAGGCAGCCAGCCGGCGGAAAAAGCAGAAAAACTCTGCTGTGGAGGACGAGGCTGTGGGTGGGTGGCTGTGTTCAGGAAAAGGAAATGAAATTTCGGTCAGCCAGTCACATAATACCTATCAATGGTCAATTCCCTTCTCTCCCCCGCCCCCCGTCTCGTGTGACCACACCCCTCACATTTTCCCCCCTCCCTTGTTCAGACTACGTGACCAGCAATATAATTCATATGAAAATTTAATTTGTATTATTTTTCTTTTGGCTCCGCTATGTGTATCTGTGTTTCTTTGGCTTTGAATGCATGGGAATTGGGTTCCAAAAAAATATATAAATATATAAACAGAAGCGGTTAGACTTATAGGATATTTCTATTTTCGAAACGGAGGAAATTAATTCAAATATTTAAGCTTCAATTACTACGATTTTCGGGAGCTCTAACGGTCTAGACCTTTGAATAGTTTTAGAGAAGAAATTATTTATGAAAATGTTTAAGAAAATATATTTATATTTTTAGATAGAATAAAATGCCTCAAAAAACAATATGTTAATGGATTTAAATGAATTTTGAGACATTTTTTTCTATCTAAAAAATGCATATAAATACAATATTATAATGGATTTTGGTGAATTTGGGACCGTTACGATTATCATTTGTATAGAAAAAGTTAAGAAATAAAATTTATTTGTTGTATTTATTTAAAAAAAAAATTTAAACATTAAAATTAATTGAAATTATAAAAATAACAAAAAATTTTCTATATACATTTTTATATAAAAATTAAGTCATCAAATTTATTTTCAATTTTTTCATTATAAAAATTGATATTTTTAGCAAGCTCGTTTGCGAACCCTCAATTGTTGCTCGCTTGCGAGACTTCTGCGGGACTCTGTTAAAAGGTACTTTTGTTGGTTTTCAGGGTCTATACGGATCAAAGTTGCAATTGCAGTTGCATTAGGTATAATCGAGCATCGTCGATGTAACACATCGAACCCTGCAACTCGAACCCAGCGTTTAGCAGCAATGCTCTCACACGAGACCATGTTTGCAGGGTCCAACATGTTCGAAGACTCTGAAGACCATAAGGGTTTGGTGCCGTTGGCCGATATTCGATAAGAAAAGATTAGAAAAAAATCTATTTGATTGGATTTTACATTTTTTTTAAATTATTTTTATATGTGTATGGCTTATATAATTAATTAGCACCTACTACTAAGCTAATACTACTAATAGTTTGCCTCTAAACGTACATATGTAACACAACGACTAAAGGCATAATATCTAACAAAGAATAAATTTGCTGGCCCGACCAAAGATCAGACATACATATGTATATGATATTCTGGAATTTTAACAAAGAAGTTGGTTTTTTGTTCCTCAAATTAAATGTTGAAAAAAATTTAGTCAAAGGAGGACAAAAGCCAAAGGATTCTGTATGCCAACCGCATGTAGAAAATAAATGTTATTATGCTGAAAAAAAAATACAACTAAAACCCCTACACCATTTCATCCGATATGCCACATTTTGTGTGTGGCAGGAAATAGAAAACGAGAGAAAAAAATGTACAAAAATTATTGCATATTTAGCAATAAATAAAGAGGAAGCGAGTAAAGTGCGGTTTTGGCTTTTTTTGGGGTGGACTTTCCAATGGCTTTTGTGTGTCAACAAGTTTTGTTTGATCCGTCTGGCCGCAAAATGAATGTGCAACATGCAGCACGTTTGATCCCGTGTGTGTGTGTGGGTTTTTTTTGTTGTGTGTGAAAATTTGATTGCATGAACCGCAATTTGAATGATATTTGGTTTTTGTGGTCCACTGGACATGTGATATGGCGAATGATATTGGTGTTTTTAAAGGCTTTCCCCCCCTTCCACCCAATCGATATATTAGCATATTAATTATAGTTTTTACTTCCTTACCTTTTTTCTTTGGTGTGGATTTTCCTTTTCCTCATTAGCTTAACAATGCGGAAAATCGACAGACGTGCAGTGGAAAAGCTACGCAAATAGAGTCCATTGAAATAATTACCAGAGTGGCGGAAGGGGGGTGGGGGTTGGAAATTTGCATCTGAAGTCCTGGCGGCCAATCTGCATTCGGCTGACCGCATTATCCTTTGGGTTTCTCTCTCTCTCGGGCTGTCCCTGTCGCTTATCCTTTGGACAAGTGCTGGACAGCGTTTTAAATTTCATTAAATCTGCTCACTTCGTTTGCCAATGCAATCAACAACAGCAGCAGCAGCGGCTGCAACTGGAAGGACACGGCAGGATAAGCCTAGAGCTAGGGAGAAGTTTAAGAAGTGTAGCAGCACTGCCGCATTTCATTTACAACGCCTCAAGTGCTGGAAATCTACTTAGATCCCATGACTTTGGGTCAGCTAGGGGTCTCCTACGGAGAAGAAAAACTCCCCCTCCTCATCCACCCTCTCTCTCTTTCGTTTTCTCCCTCTTTCGTCTTAACCTTACGTAATTAACTCGCTTTTGGTCTTGTTTTTCTTGATTTCTTTGGAGTACCCTACCAAAAATGAGGGGAAATTAGCTAAAAGAAACTAGCTTCTAGGCTTGGTACAGGTCTGGGTTTTAGTATAGTCGCCGCTTACAAAATGAGGTATTTTTGTGCATGCGAGAGAGGGTCACACTAAATTTAGAGCAATCAAAAGTCAATGTAATGTAAAAAGAAACATCAAAACTGTTAAAATACAAAATTAATATAAATATAAAATTAATAAAAAAATATTTAAAAAAATAAATGTAATAAATAAATAAATATGTATAAAAATAAATAAAAAATATAAAAAATTAAAGGTAATAAATAAATATGGAAAAAATAAATATAAAAAAAATATATATACAATGTACATATATAATCAAAAAAATAATTCGATTTTTCAATTTAATTTCCCTCAATTCAAATTTAATTTTCCTAAAAAAAGTATTTTTTTTTTTTAAATTTAGGGTTAAAAACAATAAGCTCACTCTAAAATAATGTTTAAGGTCATACATTTCAAGCTTTTTGTAGAAATAATATTACAAATCTACTAAAAAAAATATTAAAAATCTATTTTTTTTTGAAAACGAAAAATTACATTGGAATGAAAATTGTAGGAACACAAAAATTGCTTAAAAATTAAGTCAAATTTCAAGAAAATGTTCATATTATTCGCAGAAATTTTCTTTTCTAATAAAGGGTTTTCCCTATTCGACTTTCGGTTCAGGAAATTTCAATTATTCCCTCACTTTGTTTTTACTGCGTTTGATCCACTTTACGGCTAGGATTTTAGTTTAATTTCTTGCACTTTTCTATAGTTTTTTTCTTCTTCTACCTTTTTGAGGGGTGGATGGGGGAGGCTGAATAGTTGGCTCTGAGCTTTCGCTTTTTTTCTGTCTAATTTCTTTTGCGTTATTTTTCACATCGTTTTTTGCTCTCTCTCTCTGTCTCTCTTTTCTTTTTCTCCTTTCTCTTTTGGCGTCCGGAACTAAGTGAAAAAGTAAACAGAAATCCATTAGCTGGGCAATCATTGACGGCGTCGCCAGCGGCACCGCATCCATCTAACTGTCTCTCTCTCTCTCTTTTACACCCGTGTGTAGCCATCTCTCTCACTCTCTTTGAGTGGCAGAGGTCGTCGCCGCACTGTGTGGTTGCTGTGGGGATTTTATAAATTGCTGCCCCATCAAGGCATTTGTTCCACTTTTCCTTCACTTTTTATTTCCATTTGCCGGACGACAATTTCTCCAGCTCCATCTCAAAACTAAACTTAAATAAATAATACAAGCGACTAGCTAAAGAGAGGAGAACAGACGCCTAATCGATGTCTATTTTGTAGCCCAGATCTATGGAGGCCCGTATGTGCTCCTTGAGATTGATATAACCATTACGCAGCGATTCCTGGGTCAAGAACTCCCTGACCTTGTCCTCGGACTCGCAAAACACTAGATTGTCCGTGTGATCGATCAGACGCTGGAGTGGCTCCTGGAACCTATACAGAATCAGGAGCGTGGAACTGGCCGCATCCGCCTGACGGCACAGATCGCTCGATAGCTTCGATATGCCCTGGGCGGCAGTGTAATCGAGCCCCGTAATGCGATGTCCATCGATGACCACGGTTATACGGAAATCCGCCTGAGTGCAGGCTTTGAGGACACGTTCCCTCAGGTAATTGATGGCCGGAAAGTAGATGCCATTGCCGGGCGTCACGCGGATGTACTGCATCTCGTCGAGCTCCTCAATCTTTACCCGAATCTCGGGACGTGCCCACAGGAAGAGCAGATGCAAAGCCGTGACCACAATGCTAACAAACAGACCCACTTCCACGCCAAAGAGCACGCACACGCAGAAGCACAGCAGCCAGGTGGCAAAGTCCCGCTTCGAGTCGCGCCACAAACGCAGCGGCAGCTTAAAGTCCAGCAGCGTGATTATCGAGCATATCAGAATGGCGGCCAGTGTGGCTTCCGGTATGAAATTGAAGTACGGACTGAGATAGCTCAAGGCCAGCAGCACAATGATACCTAGGGAATACAACGAGGTACATATATATCTTTATTCAGGTTACTCGATGTCCCTTTGTGGCTTACCCAAATACAGATTTGCCATGGGTGTCTTCAGGCCACAGGCTGTACTAATGGCATAGCGGGTAAAGGCACCCGATGAAGGCATGGCCTGCACACAGGAACCAAACATATTGCACAGTCCCACGGTGAGAAGCTCTTGATTTGTGTCCACCAGGCCTTTGGGAGCTGGAAAAGACATTTAAGAGAGAGATTTTATAGATAAAAGTTGTAAAAGTTGGAAATTTCATGGATACAGATTGTTCTTCCGGGTTTAAAAGGAATTATTATGATAAGGAAAGGCCCAAGTTCCTGTATACGAAGTAGCAGAAAATGCAATAGGTCTTAGGGCTTTATCATTCTTTTATAGTCCATAAATATACGAACTTTTCTTCCGTCACAATCTTAGCTTATGACACCACAAATTCCTTCTAAGACCTTAAGAATCGACTGTCAACCGATGTCTAGACCCCTTCGGAATTACTCACTCAACTTTCCAATTGATATATTCGTGAGTATGCCCACAATCGGTATGACTATAATCCCCATATGGAGCTCCTTTAAGATCTCCCAGAAACTGTAGTTCCGTTCGGGCGTTTCCACCTCCAGACTGGGGATCGTAAAATTCGGCAAAGTGGCCAAGGCATTCTGGCTAAGAGCATAGGGTACATGGCCCGTTTGTTGCAGCCAAATGTAGGACACAATCCCCGCTATAAGAACGATCAGAGTATTTCTAGAGGTGGACAAATAGCGACAGCAGATCCTTAAGACTTTTCCATGATTTTCATTGCGAGCCACGCGTTCGAGTAGCTAGAAAAAAAGAGAGAAATCTTTAAATATGTGAGGGACGGAGTGCTTTATGGACAAACCTCAAGTAATAGGAGAAAAACTATAGCACAAATGCCCATAATGAGATCTGCCATATTCGATTCGTCGATCCGGGAGCTTAGGGTAGAGACGGAGCTTAAGAGGCCCGCCACTAAGTACTTGATGCCCAGCAATACCTTCAGCTGTGATTCGATCACCAGAATGGCAGTGGCTGAGGAAAAGGCCTTGATCACGGGCATTGAGATGAACTCAAAGATAAAACCTGTTATAAAGAAAGGAAAAAACAAAAATAATTAAAATAAAAAAAAAAAATAGTAAAAAAAATTTTAATAATTTAAAAAATTTTAAAAATAAAATAAGAAAAAAAAGCCAAGAATATTCAAATTAAAATTTAGAATAAAATAAATCAATCCCAAAATGACAAAAACCAAAATAAAATAATTTTAAATAAGAACAAAAAAATTAAAAATATATTTATAAAAATTAAGGGAACAAAAAAAAACAAAAATATTCATATTAAAATATATAATAAATTCAATTAATCACGATGTATATAAATATATGCAACAAATAAAAAATAAAAAAATAAATCAAACAAAAAATTAAAACAATTAGAATAATAAATTAATATAAAAAATACAATCATTAACAATATACATATGTATACATTTATGAAAATATATTCAACAAATTAAAAAAAAATTATAAAATTAAAAAACAAAAAAAACATAAAAATAACAAAAAATATGAATATATATAAAAAAAAAAAAAAAAACAAAAAATTTAAACAACCAATAATATGCACATTTAAATTTGTAATAAAATAAATTAATCAACATAAATAAATGTTTAGTTTGTTATTTCACATTATTTTTAATTTAATTTGTTGCAGGTTTAATTTTTAAGTGAATTACAGAAGACCAAATAAATAAACAAATCTATTAAATCTTTTAAATATAGGGAAATTATTACAATGGAACTGGAACTGGCTCCTAATCGAATCATATCATATCAGAGTCTGTAGACCTCAATTTGTGTTTTGACTTCAATGAAAAATAAACACTGCAATCCTCACCTAAAGAAGGTGCTAATTGATGCTAAATAGTGCTAATCGCATTCAAACCACAGATGAATGAATTATCATATAACTTAATAAATTAGATGCCCCACAAAGTGAGAGACCTGACGTACAACTCAATTGGTTTCGTTACGGTTCTGTCTCAAGTTCAGGGGGGAAACACTTGAATCAATTTAGCAATGAGATCACACCACAAAGCACACAGATAGACTGACAGACGGACAGATAGATAGATAGATAGATAGATACACTCACCTAATCTAAGGGCACCCATAATGATCTGCACAATGCCGCTGAGAAAAGTAAGCAGAAAAGCAAACTCTATGGGTCGCCCCACCGTAAATTGTACACTGACCAATGCCACCAGACTAGTGGGTCCAATGATCACCTTATCGATGGACCCAAACACCATATAGATCAAAGGTCCAATAAAGGCCGAACACAGGCCATAACGTGCCGGCAGGCCGGCGAGCAGAGCACAGGCCATGCTCTCCGGTATGATGGTTAGGCCCAAGGTAATGCCCGCTATAAAGTCATCGATGCCCCATTCGGTAGAGTACAGTGGTAGCCATTGGGTCACCGGCATATGACGATGCAGGCGACGTTTCCATTTGGGTATTGGTGCGGGTTTCTCAGCCTCTGTTTGGGTCTGCCTGGAGGATAAGAGGGCCTGAGCCGTTGCCTTCTCCTGGGCCTCAGCATCCGTCTCCAATTGCGGATACATGTCGCACAACACGTCTATCAGCCTCGGAACGCGACTGTCGAATGATACCGGCGCAGGCCTTGCTCATCTACTAGATGATAATGATCCGTAAATCCGTAACCGTAGATTGTCATTCCAGATCATCTTTTTTGTAGAGAGATGTTTTGCTCTTCTGTTTACCTTACATATCAGAGCCTCAATTGGCATAGTCTCTCTTACGTTTCGTTGGGTGTTCGGGTTCTCTTTAGGAGCTCTCTTTCTGGGCTGCCCGGATCTCGGGCAATAATCATATATTATATCTAAACCACAACAGAGGCTATCTAAATTATCGTTGGTTTATTAATTTGATTTGTTAATTGATTAATATCCTGGTAGGCAATATTGGTATTGATATCAATCAATGCATATTTCTTATAAGAACTGAGGTATTTCATCATAAGGAAATGTTTGAAGTACTATGTATATCATTATCTCAGCAATAATCTTTCTCTTCCTATAAGAAATATTCTCTCTGGAATGATTTTTATATACATTTTCAAGATAACTTTTCCCGTATTCCCCAAAAATTTCACCATCTTTCACCGCCCCAAAAAAAGTCATTAACCTTTATCTCTCCCGTTCTCTGTGGTTCCATTTAATGTAATTATATTTCTAGATTATTTTTTTCATTCGCACGAACATTTGCCACACATGTGGCTTGGCATATGATTCATATTTGCTTTTCGTGCCTTTTCCTTTTAATGTTCTCTGCCCTCCTCTCCTCTTGTTTGTCTAGATTTTGAGTTATGCAAATATTACAACAACAACAAAAACAAGAAACAAACTTTTCACAAATGTGTGGAAATTTTATATGCAAATTGTATATTTTTTATCAAAAGCGCGAGGGCGTGACGACACGCCAAAAAGCTAATAAAATGTCAACATAATTTTTAATGTAAATTAAAATTAAAAAGTTTCGATTGACTTTTCCACAAGCGGGAGAGTCCCAGATGGATCTGAGTCTGCTTTATAAGTGGAGTGACGTGCTCTCAATTAACAGAACACAAACACAAAAAGCAGTGCGGGGGAGAGAAAGAGGCAAAGCTTATCTCTCCTGAGCAAGCACGAACATGCCAGGCTTCGGCAGCCTGCGATCGACCGAAAAAGGAGACGAAAGACGAAAAAAAGGGTCATTGCTTGCGCTTTGCATTTGCTTATCTTCGGAGCAAAAACAAAATCAAAGGTGTTGTTGTTTTTGCACTTTGCTTTGCGTCTGTCGAATAATTGTTGTTGAACGAAGTTTGCCGTGAATAGAGCGGTAGAGGAGAGGTCCGCTTCTTTCTTATTTCATCTAGGACGGGGAGTGGCTGGCAAAGGTCCACAGAAGGCGCTCCCTCTCTCTCTTTCAATTGGAATATGCCTTTTTCAGTACAGGGCAAATATCAGACAAATCTCATACATTCTAACGTCATAAATAAGTGATAACTTTTATTAGGTACCTCTAGATGTGTCTAAAATGTGCTAAAATAATTATAGCATTGTAAAATAAATAAGTATACAGTAGAGTCCGGCTATAGCGACACTCAAGGGACCGACGATTTTACCATTGCCATGTTCGTAATAGGTTTTAAAATAAAACAAATTAATTTTTAATCAATACAAAAAGTGTAATAAATTATTTCATTAAATTATAATTATAAATTAAATTAAAATTTAAATAAAATATTGAATTAAAATAACAAGGTTTTTCAAAGAAATTCCTGTCCATCATCTAATATATTTTTAACAATTTTGTCTTTGGAAGGTTCCTCAAAGATCGCCACACTATTGTCTATATGAACATATTCAACCAGTTCTTCCTTTGAAATCGGTAGCTGTTTTTTTAGAGCTCTTGCCCTTTTTTTTCAATATCACTTGACAATGAGCTCCTGGGACCGTTGTTGGCATTATTCCGCAGAATTTGTTTCGGCACGGACGCAATAAGCATAGTCGTTATAACCGGATTCTACTGTATTCGTGAAAATATGCATCGATACAAGTTAGAACCAAACATTTCCAACTTTCTGTAGTAATAATTATCTCTAAAAATGTTTTTAATTTTTGCAACACATGCAAAATTATACACCCTGATCCACAAACCAAAACTTTTTCAAAAATTTCCCATTTGGTAATCGACTAATTTGCAATTCAAAGTCGCGACTTCAACAGTCTGCAAAATTTTAGAATTGTTTATGCGGACACCCAATCGGAACAAAATCTGCTTTTAATCACCAGCAGCCGCCGCCATTTGTGCACAGTGCGTGTCAAAAATATATAAATAAATTTTCGTAGTCCTGCCATCATCCACCCAGTCACTCACTTTATCGCTTTTGGGCAATTCGTTATGTAAACGCGTACAGGAGGATATCGGATAAAAAAAACACGATACTACCCGTATATATGCAAACAATTAGCGATAAATGGATTTGCCCAACAACAACAGGGAGTTGAAAAGTTCGTAAATTTGTACGAAATTTGCACAAAATCAATTAAACCGAAATGCAAAACATCCGCCAGAAAATCAGTAACAGAAATAGGATTTGAAATCGATGGCTAGCCGAAGGGATAATCGAATGTTATGGCAACAGACAGACAGGTAGGTGGGGGAGCCATGGGGCAGGACCAAGGGTTAATCTATAGCCATTCCCATATATTAGAGTGTCCATCAAACAATGTGGAAAATGTCGGTAATTCATGAATGACTTTGGAGAGTGTGCTTTCAGGCCCAAAACGATGGCAAAAGTATTGTACTTTTAATGGAATTTAGGCAGAATTTCACTCGGAATCAAAGCTGTAGAAAAATTAGTCGGCAATCGACGGGGCATTTCCATTGATTTCTCCTCTTTTCAAACCCCCTTTTAAATGTTCTCACGTGCTTTCATAACCTTACAAAAGATTAAGAACAACTACGAAAAAAACTATAAATGGATCTGCTAGAACTTTATAATATTATGCACTTAAAGTTATTATTTGAGGCGATTATTGCTGTGGCAGGGGCAGTGGCAACTGCAACAAATGCACGATTGCACTTTCAACGAGTGGAGGAGTAGTCCATATTTAAATGAAATTTTAAGTGCCTGACTTGTGCTGCACACGAGGCCAAGCCCCATCAAAGTGCCCCCAACAGCAGCTGTGCTTCGTTCTCTCTCTCTCTTTTACCCTCAAGTTGATTATTATTTCCGAGCACACTTCGTTGTGGCATTATTATAATGACTGTTGCAGCAAAATTCACAACGCACCTGACTCGAATACAATGTTTCTTGCTTCTAGAACGGAAGGCCAACAGGAGAAAGGCGAGGGATGGGTGCCACCCAAGGAGCCAGTAGATTTTGAGCCAACTGTTGGCAGGCGTCCATTAGACAAGGCCAAAAAGCAGCATAAGGAAAGCAGAGAAAGAGAGAGAGGGAGGGGGGAGGGGTAGAGAGAGTGTGGTTCTCAATTTCACTTTTGTTTAATATTTAAGCAGAATTTTAATCGAATTTATAGCACTTTTAAGTCACTTCCTAAACGATACATTATCTGACAAATCTCTGACGAAAATGGAATTGAGAACACGAATGGATAGAGAGACAGACAGACACACAGAAGACAGTCCGAGACGCAGGACTTAGACCGAGAAAAACAGACACACGACAGTCCGAGTCGTAGGACCTAGGCCAAGTCCAACAGACAGGCAAACAGACATTCGTCTGGGCCACCAGCTCTGAGTGGCTATTCAGCCCTCAACATCAATGTCAAAATGTTGACGCTTTTCGTTTAATGAAATTTGTAAGCAGACAAAATGCATTTGCACATTTTATGATTATTTCTATTATTTATTTATAGTACAATCCACCCACACACCCACTCTCACAGATAATACTAATTAAATACGTTGTGAAGAGGTTTTTAATCAACGTTTTTTTTTGCCAAATCACTTTCTACCGCTGGCAATCAACTATTGAGGCTGTGACTCACGGCCAGCATTTAGACACACTTATTATCGGATGTAGTTGCCCAACTGATTACTGCCTTCATGGCTGAGATGTGGTGCGAAATAGAGGCCCAATCAATTTGCAGGTAGAAAATCGTAAGAAATGGTAAGAGTCATATCATTAGAGATAGATTTCAAGGTAAAATCGTATGTTCTTTGAGTTGTTTTAACAATTGCTGAAGATAATTGGTATTTTTTGTGGTATTTTTGGTATTTTTGTGCTATTTTTGGTATTTTTTGGTTTTTATGTAGAAAAATAAAATATGTTGAAAATCTTGTGGGAAAAATTTTGGATGCCGCATACATTTCTTATATAGATTTTCATCTAGAGCCTATAGAAAATTATTTTTATACCCGATACTCAAAATGAGTATTGGGGTATATTAGATTTGTGGTAAAAGTGGATGTGTGTAACGTCCAGAAGGAATCGATTCCGACCCCATAAAGTATATATATTCTTAATCAGCATTAATAGCCGAGTCGATTGAGCCATGTCTGTCTGTCCGTCCCCTTCATCGCCTAGTGCTCAAAGACTATAAGAGCTAGAGCAACGATGTTTTATATCCAGACTTCTGAGATATGTCACTGCTACAAAACTACTTCAAAACTTTGCCCCGCCCACTTCCGCCCCCACAAAAGACAAAAATCTGTGGCATCCACATTTTTAAAGATACGATAAAACCAACCAGAATCGTAGAGAATGACCATATCTCTTAGACTGCAGAATCTAAATTGGATCGTATTATTATTATAGCCAGCATCAAGAAAACAATTTCATTTTTTCTCGCCCTGTCTCTCTCTAACACACACGTAGCATAGGCGGCTTTGCTTAGAGTAAAACATTAGCGCCTAGATCTCAGAGACTATAAAAGCTAGAGCAACCAAATTTCGTATCCACACTCCTAATATATCGGACCGAGACGAGTTTGTTTCAAAATTTCGCCACAAATTCACAAATCTCAGAAACTATTAAGGCTAGAGTAACCGAATTTAGTATCCGCACTCCTGTCAGATCTCACTATAAAACGTA